TACACACACACACACACACACACAAACCAACATACATACAAACAAATTTACAAACAAACAAAAAACACGACATTGACATTAACCCTTGAACCCTTGACCCATGACCCACCTGCCTAGCCACAGGCGCCACGGCGTAGTCACAGACCGGCCCGAAGAAGGCGTCCGTCTTCATCCGCTCCCGGAACTCGATGGCCTTGTTCATCGCTTCAGCGATGTTGCAGGCCGAGTCAGCGTACAGAACCGTCAGGCTATTGAAGGCCCAGGGAGACATGCGGGTGGTGACGAAATCCACGGCGAGCTCGATGGCCGGGGCGACTTTCCGTATGAGGAAGGGGAACGCGTAGACGTGCGAGAAAGGAAGTAAGACGCCGATGACGATGTCCGGTTTTGGTCGTTTTTGGACGTGGTGGAGCGAGGTGTCTGTGTTGGTGTTGGTGGTGGTGGGGGTGATGAAGCGTTGGTGGGGGGAGGGTGTGGTTGTGGCTGGGTTTGGGTTTGAGTTCGGGTTTGGATTTGGGTTTGTGAAGGTAGGTTTTTGTTGTGGTGGTGGTGGTGGGTTTTGTTGTTTTTTGAGACTGGGTGTGTGTTCGAGGGGTGTGGTTAAGGCTTTGTTTCTGAAACGATTGTGGGTTGGGGTGGTAGCTGCGTGAGGTTTTGGTAAAGTAGACGGGGGTGGTGATGAGTGGGAGGAAAACGATGGCGAGGCAGACTGAAATATGGAAAGGGACGGTTGGTTATCGTTCTGGGCTTTCCTCCACTGCTCCTCCTCTGGTGTGGAAGAACGTGCCGATTTAAACGATTCAGCGATTTTGTGATATATGGGGTCGTACGGGAAGGGTGTAGTCTCCATATTGGAATAGTGGAACCAAGGGTAGACAACCCTGGAGTAATTCCTGTGGTAGATGACGTAATCATCCAGGTCGCCTTCCGGTATCATATCTGGGGTCACGGTGGTCCGCTCCAAAAGGTCGACGGCAAAAATGGCCGGGCTGGCCTCGTCTTCGTTGACCTTGTACTCTTTGATCTTCTCGCCGTCGTCTTCCTCATCATCCGTGGTTGTGACGTCATACAGGGCAGTGGCGGGCTTGGAAGCCTGGTCGTGGGGTGGTGGGGGTGGTGTGGTGGTGGCGACGGTCGCAACGTCTGGGACACTCCGCTTGTGTACCACGTGACCTCCAGGCGGGTTTTGGGTATGAGAGTTGTGGGGAGATTTGGTAGAAGGACCCACTTTTTCATAAAGAATTTCTGTGAAATGTTGGTTATCCTTCATAACCTCCCCTTTAGACAGTTTATTTTCAGTCCGTTTTAAAGAATTCACTTCTTTACCTTCCAAATCTTCCTGAATGGCAACAGCGTCATCTGCAGCTGAAGTCAGCCTAAAACGGTCTGATTTAAACACGGTGGTGTGAGAAAGATCGGTGTCCGGTCTAAACTGGTCAGAAAACGGCGTATTATACCTCGTGCTCGTCTCATCTCCGAAAGAGTACTCTGTCTCCGAACTTGAAGTCACTGAATCATCAGTATCATCATCAGTATCACTATCATCACTTTTCACATTTTGAAACTCTCTCGAAGTCAGGAAATTATCAGAATCCACTCCGTGGTGACCCCAACCCCTGCCTCTGAGTGCGATATTCCAAGTATAATCCACACCTCGCTTCTCGTTCGGAACACTATGACTATTTTTAGCAGAATTGGGCACAGAGAATCCATCCCCTATCTCCGCATGAACGCAAAGAAAGCAATATGACGTCACCAGAATGATGAAGGATTTCCGAGTCCTGCAGCTGCGAAGCGAAGAAATCACATTTTTTTGGGAGTGTATCTCATCCATTGTCGGTGACCGGGAGTTTTGTTTGTGTGGTCAACTAAATTCTGACTGAGTTCTCAGAATGGTCAGTATTTTCTAATTTGGTTAACATTTTAATCAATTCAATTTGTTTCCATGAAATCAAACTTCCTTGAATACATTTGGCTTCTTGTCACAAAGTTGTAGTCAAACATTATAGCGCGGAACAAAACAATGTTCTGTCTTGGCGAAGGACTCGGAAACTTGGACTCGGACCCTCGACGACAAGAAAGATTGTAAGTGAATGTGTATAAATAAGTTTCACATCCCTATGAAACACTATTAGGATTAGGTCATTTAAAACGGAAGGCCTCCGAGGGGGGAGGGGGGAGGGGGGATTTTGTAACGAGCGACCACTATGGAATATAGGCTAGTACAAGAGAGGGTTAGGGTAGAGTTTGAGGTAGGGTTCAGGTTCGGGTTAGGGTTAGGGTTTGGGTTTGGGTTTT